AGCTTGGGATGCCTCGCACACCCCGCAGGAGGAGAGGAGGTGGGAGCGCCGAGGACCCAACGTCTCTGACCCGTAGGGTGGGAGGCAAAGGTCCCTCAGCTCGTGATGCATCACACACCCCACACAAGGAGGAGACTCAGCCTCCTAGTAATTTGGATTACAGGCGCGCGCCAACGTACCCGGCCATGAACGTGTCCGTTCACCAGGCTTTAGACTCTGGTATCGTGACGTCATCACGGAGCACACTGCAGCCTTGGAAAATAAAAATACAGCTGCAGTGATGGAGACTGTTTTCACTGCTAAAACACTATAATGTGTCATTTTACATGAATGTGCCCACACCAGAGTAAGACATGGAGTCAAGTCCAGACAAACCATCAGCTGTCAGTCTTCATTAGTGAACGGCCGAAAAGCCTGTTTTGTTTGAATTAAAATCATATTCAAAATATGAGCAGGTTTTATTGACAGTGGAAGCAATGCCAGGATTTAATAACATCAAACTATCAGTAGGTAACTTCACGTTAAAGAACTGTTAACAATGGCAAGAATTTCATGTCTAAATCTAGATTACTAAAGGTCTGAGTATCCAGAAATGAAGACTAAGTAGAGGACAACTTGTATAAAGTTGCAAGTAATGGAGTTTTGTAAAAGAAAAAAAATTTTTTTTGGTAAACTGAGGGAGACCACACATGTGAAGTTAATTCACTGCTCATTACATGTAACGGTTAGATATTGTGTAGAAAATACTAAACATAAACAGATGTGCTCTTCAAATGAAGACTTTACATTTTCATTGTAAATTTTTTTTTCACATTTATAGTTGACATACTTGTCTTATTCTACTCCTGTAATACCTCCCGTTCTAAATTCAAGGTGGCAGTGGCCAGAGGATCCTGTCTACACAAACAAGATGCTCCAGATGATCACCAACAAATGAAAATGCATGCTTTACATTTTCCCTCTTCAGGAACAGATTGACGCTACACCCCTTCTCTGTGGTTGTGGTAAGTGGATGGATAAGTTCACCAGAATAATGGAAACAATGGTGTAATTTCATACATAGATTTGTACAAAACATTCTCCATCTTCAGAGATGCTCTGGTTGGGCATTCTTAGGATGCAGTGTGTGGGGTGGTTTATTGTGTTGTTGTTGAAGGATGTCTGTTCTTCATGAATAAAGGTAGCGTGCAGTGAAAGGTGACCGTAATCTCACACGGATGAGGTGGATTCACTAGCTTTTGTAGTGCTTTTAATTACCATTACAGGGTTTCTCACCCATTGTTGGCTTGTGGTGTGATCAAAACCTACAGACATGCTGAAATATTCCTGTATCATTTTGTCAAAGTAGAACTGTTTTGAGACTGTACCAGTACTTTATTACTAATGTTCACTTGCTGTATTTTGGCAACATGCACAACAGTAGGATTAACCATACTTTGCATGGGGGGGTGTATAGATAGATATACGGGTGCTTCTCAATAAATTAGAATATCATGGAAAAGTCCATTTATTTCAGTAATTCAACTCAAATAGTGAAACTCGTGTATTATATAAATTCAGTACACATAGACTGAAGTAGTTTAAGCTGTTGGGTCTTTTAATTGTGATGATTTTGGCCCACATTTAACAAATCCCACCAATTCACTATCTCAATAAATTAGAATACCTCATAAGACCTATAAAAACATTTTTAGTGAATTGCTGGCCTTCTGGAAAGTATGTTCATTTACTGTATATGTACTCAATACTTGGTAGGGGCTCCTTTTGCTTTAATTACTGCCTCAATTCTCAATTCGGCGTGGCATGGAGGTGATCAGTCTGTGGCACTGCTGAGGTGGTATGGAAGCCCAGGTTTCTTTGACAGTAGCCTTCAGCTCATCTGCATTATTTTGTTTCTCATTTTCCTCTTGACAATACCCCATAGATTCTCTATGGGGTTCAGGTCTGGTGAGTTTGCCGTCCAGTCAAGCACACCAACACCATGGTCGTTTAACCAACTTTTGGTGCTTTTGGCAGTGTGGGCAGGTGCCAAATCCTGCTGGAAAATGAAATCAGCATCT